TATTTTTAGTAGAGACGGGGTCTCGCTCTTGCTCAGGCTGGTCTCTAACTCCTGAGCTCAAATGATCCACCCGCCTCGGCCTCCCAGAGTGCTAGGATTACAGGCGTGAGCCACCACGCCCGGCCCAGAATTATACTTTTTTATGGCTGTCAAAACAGCACTATAGTCATATTTTATTTAGTGAATCATCAGTTATCAGATGAACACCAACTATGTAGAAGACTCTGAGAAATAAAAGGTGAATATTAGCATCCTAAATCAGGAAGCTCACAATTCAGTGAGAGAGACATAGATAAATGAATCACTCAAATACAAGGCAGATTATGGTAGCCTATAATATATTTGCAAATGCAGTTTTCTGGGGGTGTGAGGAAGAGACTAAATCTAACTGAAAGAATTTGGAAAGGAACTTTTCAGATGTTAGGATTTAGACTGAGCTTTATAGCAACAGGGAAGGAGGACATTTCCAGTAGACAGCATTCTTGAGCAAAGAGGTTGGGAATAGTTAACAGAGGTAAAACTGCTAGGGCAGAAATGGATTTTTGTTTTATAATGCCCATCTTTTAAATTCAATTATTGGCATTATAATTTTTTAAGCATGGCATATTTAAATTTATTTTCTTTCCAGGATTCAAAAGATTCTTCTGTTTTTGAGAGTGATAAAAAAAGGAAAGGCAGGCTAAGGAACAAAGGAAGCAAAAGGAAGAAAGAAGATCTTCAGGAAGTCGATGGAGAAATCGAAGCTGTCCTGCAAAAGAAAGGTGAGATGCAAGTCTTGCTGGTGATAGTGGTCATGTTTGCTCTGAAAGAGGCATCACTATATTCCAAGCTGTTTTTCTTGAGGGACCTTCTATGTGCAGAAATGTTTACTAGAAAACATTTCTGTATCTGATGAACCTTGTTTACTTCAAGACTATTGAATACAATTATAAGTTACTACTGAATCACTAACCTTTTCACCTCCTTTTTTGTTTACTAGCAAAAGCCAGAGGGCTCGAATTCCAGGTCTCCAGTGTGAAATTTGAAGATGTTGGAGGCAATGATACAACACTAAAAGTTAGTTCAAATTCCGAATTTTACCTCAGATGGGTGTATTGCAAACAAAGCTTACCTCTTTGTTTCTAATATGAACTGAATGTAGAAAAGGAAACTGGGAAGGTGAAGGGGCAAACCTGACCTGTCGCCTTAAGGGTATTGAAAGGGAAAAGAATTATACTGTCTTTAACTTTTTCACCATTGTAATTATAGTGTACATAAGCTACATGCTTTATGAGTAATATTGTCTTAACAGTACTAATAGTAATTATAACTTTATTTTTAATGTCTACTCTGTTCAAGTTACCATGCTAGTTACTTTTCATTACATCTTCAAGGTAGATAATATTATGCCTTAGGAAATGGAAGCCCAGAGAGGTTATTGCCGAAGTCAGACAGTAGATACCAGCACCAGGATTCAAACTCAGGTCTTGGCCTTTAGCCTATACTCTGTCTACTCTATTTTCTTGCTCCAAAAAGTTGGACATTTCATTCCACTTTGATTTTTTCTGTCTTGAAAGACATCTTTTGTGCTTCTTCCCTGCTAGGAAGTCTGTAAGTTGCTTATACACATGCGTCACCCGGAGGTCTACCACCACCTAGGCGTCGTGCCCCCTCGGGGAGTTCTCCTTCATGGGCCTCCAGGCTGCGGGAAGACATTACTCGCACATGCAATTGCTGGGGTGAGGCTTGCTGATACTTGTTTGTTTTTGCTGTTTTCGTTGTTGATATCTGTTTTTATTTTTTCTCTTTGGTCAACTTAAACCAGACCTGGCATCTTTAAAGAAGAGAATATGGTCATTGAGAACTGATCCTTTCTTCATTATTATACTTCTTTCGTACTGCTATTTTTGGGATTTATTTTTTAAAGTATATAATTGTTTATATGGCAAAGGTTGAGTGGGAAGTAAAATAATACAGTTTTAAACAACCCTTTTTTAACACGTGGTTTACATTTTAGTTACTTTTCTTCTATTAATACTTTAACCCAGTGGTTCTTAAGAGCAGTAAAATAAGAAAACTAAAGATAGTATTTTTTTTTATAGAGCTAAATATATTCAGAATTTCCATTCAGAGTCATGTTCTTATACTTTTTGGTGTTAACATGTCCTTTCTAAAATGATAATAATAGACACTCAATTGGCAAAATAAAAAGTTAGCAGTCTTATTTTAGCCCTATTAGATTTTTCAGAAACTGTATTAGGTGGTAAAATGCAAAATATGTAACTTCAAGAATGCATACTATACCAGTCACTAATGGATTAATGCTTAATGAAAGAAAATCATTTGTAAAGGGGAATTTGATTGGTTTGCTTCGTTTTTGTTAAATAAATCTATTCCATGACTGCTGCATGCCAGACATTGGAATATAGTGTTAAGTACCACAATCCTAGTTCTAATATGAGAGACATTAAACAGTCATTCATGTAAATAAATGCTGTACAAAGTAGCAATTGTATAAGTGGCAAACAGCAAATTAAATGTTGTGCGGTATACTGGCATACCCAAGTTAGAGTTGAGGATCAAAGAAGGTATGGTTGAAGAAGTGAAATTTCAGGCTAGCCAGAAGAATGAGTAGGAGTTAGCCAGGATTGCCATTTGTATTGATGAGACAGCAGTAGTTTCTATTCCTTTTCTTCAAGAGCCTGCCCCCTCTGACTAGCAATAGGCTGGTGTGTGTGTGTGTGTGTGTGTGTGTGTGTGTGTGTGTGTGTGTGTAACGTGTTACTACCCTTTATTCAAAAGAGATAACAGTTCTATAGTGACATCTATAATGTAAAAACAAGTAGATGGTATCCCCTTAATGTATTTGTATAAAACCCTAGATTTTTAAATAGTGTTTTTATTGGACCAACACAAAAAGATTAAGTTCCTCAGGAAATTAGCCATTTAAAAAATGTAATTTTGAGAGGACTGGATAAAGAAAAAGTAGGGAAATTGAAAGTTGAATATTTGGTTTTCTTTTGCATGTTCGTAAATAGGAACTTGACCTGCCAATTCTGAAAGTGGCTGCTCCAGAGATTGTGTCTGGAGTATCTGGAGAGTCTGAGCAGAAGTTGCGAGAACTATTTGAACAAGCTGTGGTGAGTCAGCCAGTGACTAATGCTGGGTTGTGAGATGTTACAAGGTTTTATTAAAGGTCCTGTTTTCTCTGATGCTGGTATTTGTTAACCCATTCACTGACCATTCTTTTATAAGCATGCTAATTTGCTACACATGATGGCTAAACATTTAAAGTAGATTTAATGATCCAGACTGTTGGAGAAATAATCTATTTCATTTAAAACACAGATGTAACTGGTGAGAAGTTCTAGGTTGTCATACCCAGTAGTTATATGTACAAAATGCATTATTCTTGTGATATTTTTATTTACTTCTACTTTCCTTGATTTAGGTGTGACCAGAAAACTTATAAGCAGTGCGAAATTTGTTAATATTTAGGATTATTGTATCATAAAAAGCAACTGTAAAAATGCCAGGATAAAATCTCTCAGTTTCCTTACTACTAAACTGGGGTAATAATAATACCCAAATCTCACATTGTTGTTGAAAGGATTAAATGAGAGAATTCTTCTAAAACCTTTAACTGCCTTGCACAAGGCAAAAGCCCTATAAATATTAGCTATGGCATTGTATACACTTAGACACCGATCATCACTGTGATTAAAACTAAAAAATAGTGAAAAGCGTAATTTTGTCTTTATTTGCACCCTAAATAGATAGTGGCTAATGAACATGGCCAATACAATTACTAGAAGCCAATGTGAAATTAGAAGAGAAATTGTGTCTTAGCAGTAATTGAGAAAAAAATTTAAATAGCAAGACTGGAGAGACCATCTACTTGGTTTGTTGTGTAGACTGGCATTGGAAAAGGTGTGGACAGCACCAGGAGGATGCAGAGAAAGGGTGGGAAGGGCAGTGTGCAAAGCAAAGCTGAGCACTTTCAGGTGTTACCTGCTCTCCAAAATATGGTTGATTCAGTTGTTAAATTGGCATGCATAGCCAGAGCACAAGTGGTAAACTTTGTGTGCATGGTAAACCCAATGAAGAATAAGGATAAAAGAGACAGACAGAATCTTTAGGTTGTTAGTTCTGGATTCAAATCTGTCTCTAAACCAATACTGGACAGTAGATGCTCAGTAAATACATGGTCTAGCACTCCCCTTTCCCCTGCCCCCTCTTCCCTAATGAGAGTAAGATAAAGTATGTGGATCAGAGAACAAAAAGGTCAAACCGAATCAAGTGGTTCCTTATTGAAAATTGTATGGTTTCTGTAGGCTAAATCTGATGACCTTCACTTAATCCTTTTTTTTCCATTCAGCTTTCCAGGTCACTGACAAATGCTAATGTGCTTGCTTTCTGAGTCCTTTGCTCTCTGTAACTGTACTCTTTTGTAGCTGGGTAATATATCCGGCAGTCTTTTGTAAACATTGTCATGAGGAGGATTGGGGAAGAGAAGCTTTCTAGTGATGGGCCAAGTGTCTTGTCCTTTAAAATGTCCCCATGATTTTGAGATGTCTTAGCCGGGCTGACAGTCTGAATCTTAGCATAATCCAAGTCACTCCTAACCATCAAGTATAAATTTTTCATTTTAATTTATTTCTCTTTTTTTTTTATTTTTTTAAGAGATGAGGTCTCACTCTGTAACTCAGGCTAGAGTGCAGTGGCATGATCGTAGCTCACTGTAACATCAAACTTTTGGGCTTAAGTGATTCTCCTGCCTCAGCCTCCTGAGTAGGTGGGACTACAGGCACGTACCACCATGCCTGGCTATTTTGTTTTCTTTTTTGGAGACATGGTCTCACTATGTTGTCCAGACTGGTCCTGAACTCTTAGGCTCAAGGATCCTCCCACCTCAGCCTTCCCAGTTGCTAGGATTATAGGCGTGAGCCAGTATGCCCAGCTCTCTCCCTTTTTTGGGGGGTGGGGGGAGAGTGATCAAATATACATAACATAACATTTGCCATTTTAAACATTTTTAAGTGTACAGTTCTGTGGCATTAAGTACATTCATATTGTTGTGTAACCATCACACCATCCATCTCCAGAACTTTTTCATCTTCCCAAACAGAAACTCTGTACCTGTTAGACAGTAACTCCCCCATTCCTCCCTTTCTCTAGTCCCTGGCAACCACCATTCTATTTTCTATCTCTGTGAATTTGACTAGTATAGGTGGTTGATCCTTACATCTTTTTTTTTCTTTCCAAAATATTAATTAAGGAGGTACAAGTGTTTTTGTTACATGGATACCTTGTATCAAGCTTAAGTCAGCACTTCTGGTGTGCCCATCGCCAGAATAGTGTTCATTATACCCAGTAGGTAAGTTTTTCTCCACATCACCCTTTCTACAGTCCCCCTTTCTTTTTTTTTTTTTTGAGTCACGATCTCACTTTGTTGCCTGGGTAAGTACCGTGGCATCAGCCTAGCTCACAGCAACCTCAGACTGCTGGGCTCAAGGGATCCTCCTGCCTCAGTCTCCCGAGTAGCTGGGACTACAGGCATGCGCCACCACACCTAGCTAATTTTTTCTATTTTCAGTAGAGACAGGGTCTCGCTCTTGCTCAGGCTGGTCTCGAACTCCTGACCTCAAGCTATCCTCCTGCCCCTGCCTCCCAGAGTGCTAGGGTTATAGGCATGAGCCACAGTACCTGGCCCCTCCCCCCTTCTTGATCCTTACATTTTTAACTTATTCTGTCTGAACCCTATCTGTTAATAGTTTATTTATTTATTTATTTATTTTTTTTTCTTGAGACAAGATCTCACTCTCTTGCCTGGGCTAGAGCACAGTGGTGTTATAGCTTGCTGCAACCTCAAACTCCTGGGCTTGAGCGGTCCTGCCTCAGCCTCTCGAATAGGGGCTACAGGTGTGTGCTATCATGCCTGCCTAACTTTTTTATTTTTTATTTTTTGTAGACATGGATCTCACTGTTGCCCAGGCTGGTCTCAAACTCCCACCCTTATGCAGTCCCCCCACTTCGGCCTCCCAAAGTGCTAGGATTGCAGGCGTGAGCCATTGCACCCAGCCCCTATCTAGTTTATTTCTAAAAAAAGACTGAAGATGATCATTAAACACACTGATATATTGGAACTTTATCATCCTTCCTTATTCAAAATAGTCTTTAAAGTAAGCCTCTGATAGTTTCATTATGGGAAGATGAAAAAGTTCTGGAGATGGATAGTGGTGATCATTACACAACAGTGTGAATGTACTTAATGCCACAGAACTATACACTTAAAAATGTTTAAAATGGTAAATTGAATATATATTTTACCACAAGGTTTTTAAAAAGCTTCTGGTGCTTCTCATATTCCTCTATTGGCAAATTCTAGAGAAAAGCTTGGAGGTTTTATGTTGGTAGTTGTTGCTCCATGAATTAGTGTTAAACGTGTTTGGGGACAGGATCTGTCTTAGGAGTTTTACAGAGCTTTGCCCTGAAGGAATAGGTGAATGTGCTGGTTTGCATTTTGTATGCTGTTACACTGGAAGGGCATCTCTGAAAGGCAATGGCGGCTGTATCCCACGAGGCGCGCGTTTCTCAGACCTAAAGAATTGGATTTGCTTTGTAAAGCACAAGCGAATCTGTTAAAAACTATAGGCTGAGAGCTGACAATGGAGTGCCCTCCGGAACAAACAGCTTCCCAGAAAGGACAGCTTCCCAGATGGCCGAAAGCAAAGCTTTTGTTTAAACCACTCTAGACTACCTGTCTCCATTCACAATAACCT